GTGCTTCGTTTTCTTATTTATTACTCATGTGAACACGGGCAAATCACATAACTGACTAGATCTCATTTTTATGTGTAAAATAAGGGGACGAGACAGGCACATGAAGGCAGTGGAGTGAGTGAAGAGGTCCAGCCATTATGGAAAGTATTCTGAAACTATGTCCCTAAAGTCACTAAATCATGTACACCCTTTGCCCCAAGGACACTACTACTAGGTCTTTACCCCTAAAGAGATCAACGGAAGAGGAAAAGGACCTGTATTACAAAACTAATCCTAGCAGTTCTTTTTAAAACGGAAATTAAGGAGGTATGCCCATCAACTGGGGAATGACTAAACAAATTATAGTATATGAATGTAATGGAACATTATTGTGTGTAAGAAATGAAATGATAAAAAGGGATGGGGGTCAAAGAAATCTGGGAAGACGTAGGAACTGATATAGAATGAAGTAAGCAGGATAAGAACAATGCATATAATAACAACATTGTAAAAACAAAAAGTTTTCAAAGACTTAATGATTCTAATCAATGCAATGACAAATTCCAATGTCCAAGGCATGCTGATGAGGCAGGTTTCCCACTCCACACAGAGGCAAGGCACGATGCAGAATGAGACAGACATTTTTGGACCAATGGGAGAATTTGTTTTGCTTGCCTACGCATATTTGTTTCAAAGGTTTGGGTTTTCTTTCTTTCTTTCTTTGTTAATGAGAGAGGAAATAGGAAGGAGAGAAAGTGAAAGTTTAAAAAATAGTTAGACTGGATGATATCTAAGATCTCTTCTACCTCTAAGTCTTATGATACTATAAAAATCTGCATTTTTCAAAGGCTATAGCTCAAAAAAGGGGAATTGGTTACACAAGGCTATGCAGTGGCTCACTGGCAAAGTCAGGATCAAAATCTAGGCCTCCTGACTCCTCAGTCTATTTTCCTAACACATCAAACTGATTCTCAATTGTTAGTTACCTTTTCATAATCAGATTATGTGGTCTCTTCAAGTATATTGTAAGCTCCTTAAGTACAGAGACAATTATCTTAGAGATAGTCAATAAACACTGATTAAGCAGTGACTTAAGTGCCAGGCACTGTACTAAGTGCTATGGAATTTATACACGGAAGCAAATCAGGATACCATGATGGACAGAAAAGATCATTTAGTCTATTCAACGTCCTGGTTTTACCAATGAGCAAAATTAAGCACCAAGCAAATCCAGTTAACTTGTCCAAGGTCAAGCAGGGAATAAAAGCAACAGAATGGGTGCATGCATGAACCCAGGTACTCAGGCTCCCAGTGCTTCATCACTTTGACCACTTCACACCTTGCAGTATCTGGCACAGAGGAGGGACTCACTAAATATTTGCTGGTGACAGTTGATGGAAACAAAGGCTCCTGCTCTTTATACTGCTTTCTTGTCCAGTAAAAACCCCCAAACAATTCCTTTTCCCAGGAGCTGGTTCTACATCTGCTGCTCCTGTTGGAGTCTTGCTTTCCCAGCGCGTGCTAGTGAGTTAGAATTCTTAACACTACCAAACTTTAATAGGTTTGCTCCCAGCAGGAAGAGAATTAGACTATGCTTATCTTTGCAATGAGATGACAGAGGAGCTCATCTTTCAAAGCAACATCTTCCAAGGCAGGAAAAGACAGTGATTTCACCTTTTACTCAGTCTCCAAATGACCCCCTTAAATTGACTTCTGGTATGCTATTGCTCCTGGAAGAGGTTATCGTCTTTATTTGGCTTGAGAAGAAGGTCCACTTAACGAAAGAGAAAGAGAAAGGAGGGAAGAGTGGATCACGTCTGACATACCGTCAGTCCTCTGATGGAAGGGTTAGTTTCACTGAGGAACCCGCTATTTTCTGCCATGCTTACTCAGCTCCCTGGGAATGTGCTTTAAGAGCATTGCTTTTAGCAAGCAGCACACTCATGGCTACAGAGGCAGAAACGATCCTAATTCGTTAGGCAGTCCTATTCCAGGGTCATTCCTTCCACCAGTCAGAAGACTGCTGGGGGGTTCAGAAGAGCTACTCTGACAACTCTCTAGATAAGGAAAATGAAACTTCTCAAAACTGATTCCAGCATCACTGTACAAAAACAACTTTGACAAAACAGAGGTGACTACAGCAGGTAGGGCCACTTACAATCACAAATGAAAATTACAGAAGCATCAAACAGCAGACAAAAGAAGAAAAGCCTTGGGCACTAGCTTAGTCCAATCTACTCATTTTACCAAAGGAAAAACTAAGGCCAAGCAGCAATACAAGTGGATCAAAAGGGGCCTCAGGATCAGGAAGACCTGGGTTCAAGACCTGCCCCAAACTTAGCACTGCACCTGGCACACGATCAGTGCCTCATGCTGACCTCAGGGCGGTGTACGTGGCCCTGAGAAAGCCACTTCACCTTAGGACTCTAGCAACTCTCTAAGACAATGGAGTAGGGGCAGCTAGGTGGCGCAGGGTGCACTGGCCCTGAAGTCAGGAGGACCTGAGTTCAAATTCGGCCTCAGACCAAACCCTTGACACTAGCTGTGTGACCCTGGGCAAGTCACTTAACCCCAATTGTCTTAAAAAAAAAAAAAAAAGAAAAGAAAAAGAAATAAGACTATGGAGTCGCAGAACGGGGCCTCAGTGGTGGCAGCTTTCACCATGAGGTTGCACCCTAATGACATCTCCCAGGTAGCCAGAAAACTAAAATAAATAAAACATCTAAGGTCCAGAGAGAGGGAATCACTTGGCAAACTTCTCCCAGCGTAGTGGTGGTATCATTGAGCTGACAGGAAGAAGGGCTGTTTTCAAAAGGCCTATCCACACAATCAACCAATCAACATTTATAAAGCACCTGCTGTGTGTCAGGCACTGGGCTAAGTGCCAGGGATATTAAGAGGCAAAAGACAGGCCCTGCCATCAAGGAGCTTATAATCTAATGGAATTTTAAGACAACATGGAAACAGCTAGATACAAACAAGCTATTTACAAAAGAAGAAGAAAATAACTAACAGAGGGAAGGCACTGGAATTAAGAGGGGTTAAAGGCAGGCCTCCAGTAGAGAGTGGGATTTTAGCTGGGACTTAAAGGAAGGCAGGGAGAGAGCTCCATGCCCAGAGCTAAGAGATGGAGGGTCCTGTTCAAGAAACAGTCAGGAGACCAGTGTCCCTGGATTGAAGACTATATGCGTGAGGGAGTAAGGTGTAAGAAACTAGAAAGGGAGGAGAGGCAGGTTATGAAGGGCTCTGAATGCCAAATTGAGCATTTTATGTTTGATTCCTGCAGCTCTCCAATCAGAAAGGCATAGGAACTGAGGGTCCCAAGGAGTGCTGAGTACCCAAACTGAAACAATCTCCAGGATGATTAGCTTCTTCTCCTGGGGGAGATGTGATGCTCATGGAGCTGAGACCAAAGCAAAGGAGCAGTGGGATATGATGCTGAAAGGACATTAGAGTACAGACCAGCCAAGCCAGAAGGAGATTTGGAATACAGACTGTCTTCTGTGGCTGGAGCTGCACCATCACTTTGATCAGGCATTCCAACGAGCTTTCACCATGGAGTGGAACCCAACAGCATCCGGCCTACTTTGTGAGACACAGAAGTCGTACCAAGCAAAGCAGCTCCTGACTGGCAACTTAACGGCTCTGACTCTCACGTGCCTAGCATCTGGGTGTTTAGGGCACAGGTATGAGGCAGAAACAATTTATTACTTTGGGATTCTGAATAAAACAGTTCCTTAACAAGAGCAAAGCAGTCAGAATGCTCTTTCTAAAGCTACGTACCCAGAAAGACTCAGAGGACAGCTGAGGCCTCATCTATTTTCAAAGTTCCAGGATTCCATGTTGCCTCAGATATGTCACATGCTGTCATCCACACCAGCCCAAGATGGAAGCCTGTGCTCTGCTCGCAGGCTCGGCCTGCTTTCAAGCCGTCTCAGGCAAGACCCCGATGCAGACTATCTCGCTATTTCAACATCCAAGGCTTTAGGGAGCTTTCCAGCTCTGACCCTTTGTGTTCTACATTTTAGGATCCCCTTCCAGCTGAGGTATGAGAAAAATAGAAAGGAAAGGCTCTGAAGGCCAAACAGTATTTTGTATTTGATCTTGAAGTGACAGGGAGTCACTGGAGTTTACTGTAGAGGAGGGTCTGTTTATTCAGTAGGACGTGATCAGACCGATGCTTTAGGAAAACCACTTCAGTGGCTGAACGGAGGATGCAATGGAGTGGGGAGAGACTTGAGACAGGTCGACCCACAAGCAACTGCTGCAACAATCCAGGAGCAAGATGATGAGGGCCTAGACCAGGGCAGGGGCAATGTCAGAGGAGAGGGAGACAGTCAGGAGACATTACAAAGCAGAAATCAATAGGCGATGGCTGCAGATTGGACATGGGGTGTGGATGAGAAAAGGTGAGGCACCCAGGATGACTCCTGGGTTGTGAGCCTGAGGACTGAGATGATGGTACTGCCATCTACAGTGAGGGAAGGTAGGAGGGAGGAAGGGTTTAGGGGAAAAAGATAATGAGTTCCATCGTGGACATACTGAGTTGAAGATGTCTACTGGAGATCCGATTTAAGATGTCTGTAAGGCAGCTGGAGGAGACTGAAGGTTAGCAGAGTTTGGGGCAGGATAGGGAGATTTAACAAAGATGGAAATTAAATCCATAGGAGCGGATGAGATTTCCAAGTAAAGTCATATAGAGGGAGAAAAGAAGAGGGCCCAGGGTTCTAGGATTTACCAAATGAACAAATATTCAATCCATAAATTTTACCCTACTAAGCTTCCGTTCCCTAGGAATAATCATTCCATTTCACTCAACAAATCTTTGCATAGAGAGTCCAGTGGTAGAGTTGAGGAAGATACCGAGTTTAGATAAAAAATGGTTCCTGGCCTTTAGGGAACTTACACTCATTCAGTTACCGTTGACCAAAGGCCTAGTATGTTTAAAGTTTTGTTCTAGGCAACATGATTCAAGATGATTCGGTCCCCCAACCCACTCCCACCAAAGGTGAACACATTACCTTGGTGTTCCTTCGGAGACTACGCAGAATGTTCCGTCTCCTTGGGTCTTCGTCTGTTTCATAAGGGATCACAGAATTGTCCCCTTTGTATCCCTGGGAGGCCTGGTCCTCCTCTTTTTTCCGGATGGGCCCTAGCTCATCGTCACTCCCCACACTGAAGCTGGTCCGGTAGCTGGCAAAGCGCCCCAGGCGCGTGCACCGCGTCCTGTACAATACAGGTTTGCTCACCATAGACATTTTGCGCCCTCGCTCTAAAGAGCTGGTGTCCATTTCGCTGTCAGAGCCATTGGCACTCCCATTGGACTGGGCTTTGTTGATGTTTCGGATGGTGATGATTTTGCCTTGGGTGCTGTCATGTGGCACGGAGTAGATATTTTCCTCCTCGTTCCGTGGCTTGACCACAGCGTCCATCGGCTCTGCGTAATCTGAAGGGTCAAACCCATCGGCAGGGAGCCAGCTGCTAGAACTCACTGACTTGCTCTGGGCATCCTTATGCCCTTGGTCCAAATAAGACAGATCCCCTTTTATTTCAAAATGGACAGGGGGCTTTGGTTTTACTGGTGGAGGTACTTTGTTGTTCAGTTTACTCTCAATGCTCATAAAGAAAGACAGACCATCATTCCCCTCCAGCTCCATGGAAAGCTTAGAATGATCTTTGGACAAGGAGGGCAAGGACGCATCTTCTCGGAAGAGGCTATAGGATGGGGGTTCGATGTCTTCTTCAGAGTCAGGAAGGTTAGAGTTGCAGAGAGGGGAGCCGGCGCGGGGGGAGTTAAAGACTTCCTCGGTATTACTACAGGCCTCGGCAACATTATCATACATATGGGTAGCCTCAACGATGTTCTTCTTCTCGACCACATCTTTGAAGAATGGATGAAAGATCTCTAGTTTATGCTGAGGCTGGCTGCAAGGGATGTTTGTGAACCTTCCGTCAATTTCTTGAGCTATCTCCTCCCCTTCAGTCAACTGTTCCCGGCTTAAGTCATTGTCCAGAACATCGGTTGTGCAGTCAGTGAGAGCTACAAGCTGAATGGGAATGATGTCCTGCACTTCACAAAGAAAGGCACGTAACATAGCCAAGGAGGCCTTCCGTTTGGCTGAATAAAAAACTATGTACCCATGAACCAATCGGCTTTTCCTAATGCTAAATGAGGAATGATATGAAAGAATCGATAATTCAATGCGCTTTTTGTGGGGTCCTAGGATTGGTAATTCAAGTAAAACCGAGTTGGTGCTGCCGCCCTGAGAAGGCTTACATGTTTGGGACTGGAGAACAGGAAAAAGAATGTCATCTGTATTAAATGGATCTCCACACATCAGACACATTACAATTCGCAGATCAATATCAGCCAGATCTTTGATGCTAGCAGTTGAACTGACAAGATTTAAGTTACGCTTGGAGTCCAAAAGTCCTTTCAAAACTTGGCTAATTTGCTTCTCATTGATGTTGCGCCCATAACCAATGCCAGCAGAAGCTGGATCCAGAAAGACACACTGCAGCTTGCTGGCAATCTGCTGGCCTTGCTGGATTAAGCTATGCAGCGTTTCACCACTAGTGTCACCTCGCTTGTTCACTAAGATTAGCGTCAGGGGAAGATGAACCAAATGATTGTCTCTACGGCCAAGTGTTGACTCTCTACTTTTTTCAATACTTTCTACAACATAAGAGAGAGACTCCTTTGAATTGTAAAGGCAGAGACAACCATGGGGCTGAAAGGTTGGCGTCTGGAAAGAATTTACAGGAAGTCGGACATTACCTTCTATTGGCCTCAGAGAAAGTTCATACATTTTGCCATCTATCACATACTTGTCATCATTTGTACAAAGAGCTCGGATCTCATTCGCCAATTCTCTAGCAAGACCATCCTTGCCAAGAATAACCAGGTTGATCCGATCTATGTTGGGGTCAGAAAGTGAGTTTTTTTGATTGCGATCAGAAGGTCGGATGAACCGAGAACTCACCAAGTGTTCAATTTTGGAGTCTACACACATGGGGCAGCTGGGACAAGTCTCCTTGGTGGGGTGGTACACAAAATGAATGTGCTTTAAAATGAGAGCATCCCGCTCTGCCTGCAACTTCTGCAACGCTTTAAATCGCTGCTCTTCCCCCAGTACATCCTGAATGACACCCATCTTTTCCTTACTAGGTTTAGCATCAAGTTCTAGTTCATAGAACAACTCAGAATATTCTAGGAGTAGTTCCTGAAATTCTTCCTTAGCTTTGTCTATAATCTGTTTTTGGTGTTTGCTGTAGATATCCATATATACAGATTCTTCCAGCCACAGGTAAAAGTCTTCATTCATGATAAAACTACGAGCCTCTTCCCAAGGCTTCCCAGGAGTTATGAAAGGAGACGTCTCTAGGTTTTCTTTGAAAGCCCTCCGCATCTCAGCTCTTTTCCTCTCATTCCTCAGCTTCTCTAAATGGGCCTCATACAGCTGCTCGGCAGGTAGAGTCTCCATTAGATCAAAAGGTATCCGTTCATTTTCCATATTATCAATGTGGCTGGTGGTATCCCAAGGTGTTTCTTCAAGCACAACAAACCACTTTAGGAATTCCGGCTTGGTTTCCAATAGTTTTTCTGCCTTGATGCAGCTCAAGTGGTCAATCTCGTCAAGGTTGGGGATGAGAGCTTCGAAAGCCAGCGGGAGAGCTGCAAGGTACAGCTTCCTGCGCCGCTCGATGTGCTCGTGCTTGAGGCGGTGCGTGTGCTGCAGGAAGAGCTTTTTGGCTTTCTGCGTGCCCTCGAGGTAGACGTAGTCCTGGTACTCAGGGGAAGACTGCATCTTGCGGCTGACGCCTGGCCAGTTCTCATTGTGGCTCTTGACGATGCGGCTCACCAGCCACTCGTACTTGTCTTTCGCAGTTGCTATCTGTTGGCTCTGCTGCTTCAGAGCCTCAAAGTAAGGGATGATTTTCATCTTCCCCCGACTTTTATCAATGAGCTGCACTAAAGTGCTGAAAGCCAGGTCCACATTCACATTAGATCGAGCTGAAGTCTCCACAACCTGGAGATTCTTTTTGCTTAAGGCAAAAGTATGTGCATCTCGAATGTACCGCTCCACACCCTCGTCACACTTTGTCAGAACCACTACTATAGGCTTTTTTGTCTTGGCGAGTTGATTGTAAAGGTTTGAAACAAACTTGAGCTGATCATCAAAGTTCCTGTTCATGCCCCTGCTCACATCGATGCAGAGAAGAAAGCCATCGATCAGCAGCTTTCCTTCTGGCATTTGTTTCTGTTCAAAGTCCTGTTCCAGCCCCAGCTGGTCAGTGCAAAAATACATGAGCTTCTCTGCTGACGCAAGCTTGGTAGCTGCAGCTCTCTTGATGTAAGGCTGCAAGGCGGTGCTCCGGTGAGGCTGGAAAGTCTGGTCATCAATAAATTCAGTCTGCTCCACGATGTGAATCTTACATTCCACACAGTCCTCCAGGGAGCGCCCCACTTCTCCCCAGTACAAGAAGTGGTCATTGTTGACAACTCTCCCACCAAAGTCACTGGTGCTGAGGACAGAGGTATGGTCCAAGTGAAATTCATCAGCACTGGGGCGAACAAAACGATTGCACAGGCAAGACTTCCCAATACCACACTGTCCCTTCTCCTTCTCTGTCCCCGACAATCCCACCACACTGATATTGTAGGTGGGAATGCGGACATCTTGCTTCCTTGCCATCATCATTGTCGACACATCCTGCCAGGGTCAACCACTTCCGAGATGATTCGTGTCTTCCAGTGTCCTGTACAACTTCCCCACTGGTCAAGGGAAGGGCAGTCGTTACCAATGCAGGCAAACTGCCCAAGCAGAAGAAAAGACTGTTCTCATAGTGCTTCTGTACCAGCAAAAGTTTCTCATCACTCAACAGCCAGCACTTCCCTGTAGACACAAAAAATAAACACAGTCAGCATTATACTGCTGTAATCAAAGTACAGTTATCAAATGACAATAATCATGAACGACTCTTAGTCTTGAAAAGGGCCCCAATATTTAATATTTTGAGAACTAAAACTTTAATTTCTTTACAAAATCAGAGCATTTCTTTTGTAAGAATAACTGACAGGGACACAAATGCTTTGGCTGCTAATGTCCAATGATCTTATCATCTATACCACATTTATTTAGACATTCTGCCCTGGTAAGATGATAATATCTCAAGTACTGCGACCAGTTCTAGAGATCACATTCTTAGGAAGACCACTGATAACCTGGAGTGATTGCACAGAAATGTAACCAAGATAGGGAAGGGCCTCAAAAACACATCAATGAGAGCTGGTTGAAAGAACTATGGCTATATAACCCAGAGAAGGGAAGACAAAGGGGAAGATGACTGCTGTCTTCAAATACTTGTCCTTATATTTGTGTCTCCAGCATCTGATATAATATCTTGCTCAAAGCAGCACAAGATGTCTGCTTAACTGAACTAAGAGTTTGCATAAAAAGGATTGGTTTTACTCTGCTTGTGATTAAAAGAATTCAAAGCTCAAACGGACAAAAGAGATAGTCTAGTCCAGGAGTCCTTACCTCCTGGGGTCCATGAACACTTTAAAAAAATATTTTGATAACTGTATTTCAATATAACTCATAATTCTTTGTGGTTTTTTAATGTATTTAAATAGTCTGCAGAGTCCATAGGCTTCATCAGACTGTCCAAGGGGTTCATGACCCCCTAAAAAGGTTAAGAAGCCCTCCTTCAGTCCAATCCCCTTATTTCCATTAGAAAAAGTCAAGGCCCAGAAAAACTGAAGTGTCATGCCCAAGGTCAGACAAATAGAAACAAAGCTAAAATGTGAGTCTACACCCAGTAGTCTTTTCTGTTGCCATGCTAATTCCTCTGCGTATCAGAAGGCAATGCTAAAGCCAACAGATGAAAAACACAGGGATGCAGATTTTTCTAGTAGTGTTAAGACTGCATGACTACTTGTCAAGGGGGCTGTAGGAGCTAGATTAGGTGACTTTAAAGTTCTATCCAATTCAAAGTTTATAATTCAAGGACTGGAGAAAAATCAACAGTTGATTATTAACATGGCCAAATTCACTATCTCTAGAAATTACCATGGTGAACAAATTTTTAAATAAACAAACCTTACAAATTATCTTTCAAATCAAGTTTATATCTTATAAAAGCCTAGCATTTTTACAATTTCGTATCAGTGGGAATGTAAGAAATGCCTTGCTGAAGAGACCAAATGGTCTATCCAATTTAATTACCTTGTCTGGGGACAGCCTGAGATCATTGCTATCCACACTAAGTAACGCCATCAGAGATGCTGCTCCCTAAAAGGTCATGGAGGCCAACTCCGTACAGAAATATAACTTAGCTAGACAAAGGCTAGAAAGAGGTCATTAAACTAGTCAAGAGGGAGAAATCAATGGATGTAAGTAATGACCTCATAATGACCTAACGCAGCATTAAGAAGATTCTTGCCTCAGCAGGAAGAAGTGGAACAAGCATGGAAAAGAGGTAAAAAAATTTGGTCCCTCCCTTCATGTTAAGTGGAAAATAAGCAAGAAATGTGTGTGAGCAGTGAAAGTACATTTTTAAAAACCCACTTAAAAATTTTAAAATGTCAAATGGGCTAAAACTACATATACCAACACATAATTAGGCAGCCAAAAAAGCTAAAACAATCTTCAACTACATGATCAGCAGGAATGTCTAGAATAAAGGAGGTGATCATTCCACAGTCTTGCCCTGGGTCAGATATCATCAGCATCATCACTCATTTATATTATACTTCATAGCTTTGCAAAATCCGCAGTTCACATTTTTATAGAACTTTATGGCTTACAAAGTATTCTCTGTATGACTCTTCTGTAGGTAATGTAAACAAGAGTATACCCCTTTTACAGATAAAGAAGCTAAGGCTCAAAAAGTGACTTGTCATTGATCACATGAACAGGGGCCCCACCTACAACCCTGTGCTCTAATCACGACACTATGCCCTCTCTTACAGCTAGAATTTATCTAATTAGCGCTGGGGACAGGAGTGGGGCAACACAACCATTAATCAACCAGGTGAGGAAACTCAAAACAACAAAACAAGAGACTAAGTGGAAAGAACAATGTTTAGCCTTGAGAAAAGGGGCATATTGGTGAGAACAGCCTGCTGGATACAGGATGGCTATCTTATCTGGAGAGGTATCACAAGGTAAAAAGGCCCCTTTACAGGCTGAAGGAAAACAGGCACACTGTATTAGTGGGCTATGAACACTCCATTCCCATTCTGGAAAATAAGTGGAAACTAGGCCACAAAAGTCACTATACCATACATAACCCTTGACTCAGTTACGTATGGTACCACTATGAGGCTTCTACCCTAAAGGCTAAAGAAAGAAAGAGGAAAAAAAAAAAAAAAAAAAGAGGACCCATATGTACAAAAATATTTGTAACAGCTTTTTGTGGTGGCAAAGAACTGAAAATTAAGGGAGTGTCCCCTTCAACTGGGTAACAGATAAACAAATTATGGTCTATGAATGTAATGGAATACTACTGTGCTGTAAGAAATGATGACAGAGATAGTTTAAAAGAAGCCTGGAAAGACCTGTATGAACTGATGCAGAGTGAAGTGAGCAGAACTAGGAAAACAATTTATACTATAACAACATCGTAAAAATGAAAATCGTGAAAGACTTAGGAAATCTCCTAATGCAATGATCAACCATGATTACAGAGGATTGATAATGAAGAATGTTATCCACACCTCCTAACAGAGAGATGATGGACTTAGGGTGCAAAAGGAGACAAATATTTTTGGACATGGCTAATATGGTAATTTGTTTTGCTTATCTATGCATATTTTGCACAAGAGTTTTCTTTTTCTTTTTCCAACAGGGGAAGGAGATGGGAGAAAAAAGATAAATGCTAGATAACTGAAAAACAATTTTTTTAAATTAAAAAAAAAAAGAAAATGGTCTCTTCTCATCTTGCTAGTCTTTTAACACATTACTGTCTTTCACATACTCTATGGTTTGGCTGTACTGGCCAACTTGCCATTTGTTTCGTGGGACAACCCGCCTCCTGTCAATGTATCGTGTCTATACTGGCTGCCTTGAATGGCTGGAAAGCTCTCCTTCCTCACCCCATACAATCTCTGGTTTCCTTTAAGATTCAACTCCAATGACACCTTCCTCCAAAAGGCCTTTTCAAGTCCTCACAGTTGCTAGTGTCTTGCTCTCTAAGGGTACCTGCCATCTACTCTATATTTCAGTTTTATATACTGATTTCTATATCAGCTGTCTTCTCTGTTAGAATGTGAGTTTCTTAAGTGCAAAGGATGTTTTTGCTTTTTCTTTGTATTCCAATAGCTTAATGCAATGGCATATAGTAAGCACTTAATATAGTCTTGTTTACTGATGGGGCATTCTGCTTCAGGCTAGGGGCAGAAATAAGACTAATGGGGAAAAGTTTTAAGGAGGCAGATATTGATTCACAATAGAAAAGAACCTAACAATTAAGAGCTGTCCAAGAATGGTTTCCTCAGGTGGTAGATTGTTCCTTTGTACTAGAAGAGTTCAATGAGAGGCTGGATAACCACTTAAGAGAAGGGATTTGAACTTTAGGGAGCATATGGGCTGGGTAACAACCTTGGAGATTGCTCCCAGCTCTAAGATTCTCCAATAGAAAAAAATCTATGTTTTACTTGAAACAACTCATTCGAGTCTCAACTAGGATTATCATCTGGGGCATCAAGGGAATCCTGATTGCTAGAGTAACAGAACCCTTTTTCAAATCAGGAAATTGTGTACAACACAAGGCTCTTTGATGAAGAAACAAAACTGGAAACACCTTGGACTAAATAAGTTATTGCAGAACTCTATGGAAGTGGCATAAAATTCAAATAGAAAGGGATCTCTGAGGCCACATATTGACTTAGAAAATAACAAACTAACATTATCTATGCTGTATTCTATTTTTAGATTTGTTAAATATTCCCCAATCACATTTTGATCTGGTTTGGACTAGGGCATGAGTCTGACACCTCTGCTCTATTGCTCAATATCCTCACTTATATAACAGAAATAATATTTTCATAACCTATTTTCCAAAACTGTGGGGGGTCAAAATGCTTGTAAATTTTAAATGAATATGAATTAGCCTCTAAATAATATAGGCTATTCTCAAGGTCTCTAACTTGACATAAATCATGAAATGCCAGGTAGTGGTATCAGACCCACCCCAACTAGTTCCAGTGTGTCTCTGGCAAATCCTAACTTCTTGATGACTCAATTTTTTATATCAAATAGAACCAAGAACATATGCTCCTCAAAGCTATCTTTTTTTTTCTTTTGGTGAGGCAACTGGGGTTAAGTGATTTGCCCAGAGTCACACAGCTAGTAAGTGTCAAGTGTATGGTCTGAGGCCGAATTTGAACTCAGGTCCTCCTGACTCCAGAGCCAGTATTCTGTCCATTGCGCCACCTAGCTGCCCTTCCTCATAGCTATCTTGAGGGAATTTCCTTCAAAGTTAGATACAAGTTCTACATGGAACTAGATGCACTGCTTGAAATGAATTTGTTGACTCATTAATGCTTGTTCTTCTTTTGAAAAGCACGTAAAACAGTTAGCTAGGGAGAAAAATAATCTTGCAGCAGGATTCTCTGATAAAGATTTTATTTTCAAGATACATATCAAATGTATAATAAGAGCCATCTTCCAATTAACAAATGGTGAAATGGATATGAACTGGCAGTTTTCTAAGGAAGAAACTGAAGCTATCTATTGCCATATGAAAAAATACTCCAAATCATGAATAATGAGAGAAATGTAAATCCTGAGTTCTACTTCACACTCATCAGACTGGCAAAGCTGACAAAAGAAGAAATGAAACATGATGAAGGGACTGTGGGGAAACAGGTACATTACAACACAGCTGGTAG